GAGAATGCCGGGTTCTATAGAAGGTTTATCAAGGATTTCTCAAAAATTACCAAATCACTATGCTGTTTATTGATGAAGGAATCCACATTTGAGTTCACGGATGGATGTTTGCTGGCTTTTAACACCTTGAAAGAGAAGTTGAATTCAGCACCCGTGATCATCACACCGGATTGGAACCTGCCATTTGAATTAATGTGCGACGCCAGTGATTTTGTTGTTAGGGCAGTTTTGGGATAACGAAGAAATAAGATATTTCACTTGATCTACTATGCAAGTAAGACCTTGAACAACACTCAACTCAATTACGTCACTACAGAAAAAGAGCTCCTTACCGTAGTCTACACCTTTCACAAATTTCGATTATATCTTGTGGGGTCAAAGGTCATCATTTACACAGATCACGCTGCTATCAAGTACTTAATGGAAAAGAAGGATGCAAAACCACATCTCATTCGTTGGATACTGTTGCTTCAAGAGTTTGACTTGGAAATCAGGGATAAGAAGGATAGTGAAAATGTGGTAGCAGGCCACTTATCTCGACTCGAGGCCACAGAACAGACAGAGACAGTGGAAATTAATGAAGCCTTCCCAGATGAACAGATTTTTGGTGTGGGAGAGGCACCCTGGTATGTGGACATAGTTAACTACTTAGCCAGGTCTATCATGAAGCCTGATTACTCCAGTCACCAGAAGAAGAAATTTTTCACTGAATTGAAGTATTATTTTTGGGAGGACCCCATTCTCTATAGGCGGGGGGCTGACCAAATTGTTCGTCGCTGCGTACCAGAGGAAGAAGTGCCTTTAATATTAGAATATTGTCATTAATCTACATATGCATGGCATTTTGGTGCTTCAAAAACAGTAGCAAAGATCCTGCAATCAGGTTTTCACTGGCCTACTCTATTTAAGGATGCTTTTGATTTCGTGAAAAGGTGTGACGATGTCAACGCATCGATAATATATCCAGGAGAAACGAAATGCCTTTGAATAGTATCCTGGAGTTGGAATTATTTGATATCTGGGGAATTGACTTCATGGGGCCATTCCCCCCATCCTTCTCCAATCAGTACATATTAGTGGCTGTGGATTACGTATCGAAGTGGGTAGAGGCAATTGCATTGCCTACCAACGAGGGGAAGGTGGTGATTGAGTTTCTAAAGAAACATATTTTTACCCGTTTTGGCACATCGAGGGCTATAATCAGTAATGGGAGCAAACATTTCTGCAATCGCCAGTTTGAACAAATATTGACTAAATATGGCTTTAAACATCGTGTAGCCACTGCATATCATCCCTAAACCAGCGGACAGGTCGAAGTGTCTAATAGGCAATTAAAGCGAATACTCGAAGTTATAGTAAGCTCGTCACGAAAAGATTGGTCTAAGAAACTGGACGACGCCGTGTGGGTCTATAGGACTGCTTTCAAGATCCCTATAGGAATGTCACCATATTGACTGGTTTTCGGGAAGGCCTGCCACTTACCTCTTGAGATAGAACATCATACTTACTGGGTAATGAAGAAATTGAATTTGGATTTGAAAGCAGTGGGTGAAAAATGTTTACTACAATTTAATGAGCGAGATGAGCTCAGAATGGAAGCCTACGAGAATTCAAGACTCTACAAAGAGCGCACCAAGAAATGGCATGATATGCACATTAAGAGGCGTGAATTTACGGTGGGGCAGAAAGTGCTACTATACAACTCTAAGCTTAAGCTGTTTCCAGGAGAGGTGGTCTGGTCCGTATACTATTACACAAGTATTTCCACATGGGGCTGTTGAGATCACTCACAACAGCAAGGGGACATTCAAGGTCAATGGACATCGTTTAAAGCACTATTGAGGAGGCAATTTTTCAAAGGAAAAGTCTACCATTCATCTTAGACCACCAGAATGACGCAATACGGTAAAGTTGAGCTATCGACTATAATCTAGTGCTGGGTGAGAGGCAACCTACTGTATCCTTCTATTAGCTTACTTTTCATATTATTTTTAGAATTATATCATTTTCGCATTTTCATTTTTCTAGGTCATCAGTCGTACATGCATGTTAATTGAATCAAATTAGCATCCCCATAATTTCCTAGGCATTACACACATGATCGGTGTGTTTGAAAAGATTTTGGGTGTTTGGGAGCATGGTTCATGCATTTCTAAATAAAAGAATTAAAAAATATATATTGGTATATGCGACTGCATAGACATATATCGAAACTACTTTGGGGAAAAATTCTTTCACTATGCGACCGCATAGGAATCAACTATGCGGCCGCATAGTAATGGTCCGGTCATGGACTTAAGCCATGACTGGCTCATTCGACACCCACTTTCCCCATTTTCCTCGCCCATCTCTCTCTTACATCTTGGACCAAAATACTTGAATCGAACACACCACCCACCAACATTCATCACACCCTCATTCATTTCATCAATCACTCCCGCATTCTTCACTCATCTTCAAGGAGAAAAAGGTATGAATTTCATTCCTTCCTTTCATTTAGAATTTGGGTTATCGGTCCTCACATTTTCCTTTTGGAAATTCGGTTGAATGGGTGCATGTAGGCATGGTGTATGGCTTTAATTTGTGTTTATGCTTTTTGGGTGATTACACTTTGCCAAGTTTTCGAATGAAATTGAATATCTATTGCACACAACATGTTCGATAAATTGCTTGAGTGAAAGTTATTGTGCATTTTGAACAATCTCGCATTCTAACTATACGCATTCCCTTCCATGTGGTGATCCAATGCCATAGATATTGAGCTCGAAACACTCCCGTACCAACACACACATTTAGGCACACGTGCTACGCTCACGTTACTTCATAACACCCACTTCGTCCCTTGCGTAAATACCCGTACGATATCCAATGAGCGTGAAATCTGAATATGTGCTACTCCACACTACGTACTTTTTGGAAAAAATTCAAGTTTTCTCGATGATGTCCGGGGGCGAAAGCGCACACTTAATCACGAGTCACTCGACACAATTTGGTTGTTTGGAGTTCCATTTGTGTGTATATTGTTATTTTGCCTTCCTTAGATGTTCTTGAGCATGTTTTCTTGACATTTGCATGTCCCCACATTCATGACCACTTGAAAGGCCATGTATCAATCACATCCATTTTGCAACGCGTAGGCACATGGCTAGGTCACGGCACCCTACGTCTCCTACTTTCCACCATTATTTGGCATACCAAACGAAGTCCATTTGCTTTGAAATTTGAATATATGGTAGATCTCATTTAATATTTTCATATGCTTGGGATAATTTCGATTTTTTTCGATGATGTCTGGGGTCGAACATGTGCACTCGGTCATGGGTCCAATTTTTCAAATATTTTCGGCCTCAACTTCCAATTTTTTCATCTTGACATTCTATTTACACTACCTTGCATGTCATATTTCGATAAGTGCACACCACGGAGTTCTATATGCATGTTGAAGCAAGTTTGAGAGATTTGTGAAAGACGTGTCTTGCTAATCTCATTCCTCCTATCGTTTTTCAAAATGCAGTTTAATGACTGTTATTTATATACCTTTGTAGGATGCCTCCAAAGTGAACATTAAAAGGAAAGGAGAAGGTTGGTTCCACTTCTAGCATAGCCCGGACTAGGGAACCCAAAGGGGGTGTCCGGCGTTTTCTATCTTCAGACCAAGCAGCCCGCTATGCCAATGTTGTCCGCGAATGGGCACTCATCCCCGAGAGACCAGTTAAGTTGAATGATTTCTTGGGTTTTGAATTGGTTTATTTAATCCATAACTCTGGTTGGGAGAAAGTGATCGAAAGGCCACACCCCGTCTATGAAAATTTGGTGCGGGAATTATATGCTAACTTCAATGCTGAAATAGACACAGCTGGATCTGATCATCTGCATCAAACATGGGTTCGGGGCAAATGGATCATGTTTTCACCTGAAGTCATTCATGACTACTATCAGCTCACTTGGACTAATGTAGTCCCAGTCCTGCATGATTTCAACTAGGTTGAGGTTGCAGAAGTGTTATTGGGACATGAAAATGCTTGGCCTCTCCCTACTGTTGATTGGTATCAGATTGACCTCACTCCTTCTATAGCCATCCTATGGTTGTTCATCTGCCACAACATCGAGCCCATCTCCCATAGGATGACATTCACAAATCAGAAGGTCGGGTTCATCTATCACTTAGTTCGGGGCAACAAGATTGACTTGGCCATTTACATTTACAATCAAATACACACTATCGGCTCATGGGTTGACAGGCACACCTCACTGATTTTCTCGAGCTTGATAAGTGGGGTTTGTAGAGCTGCAGGCATACAAGTTCAACCGGAGAGGTATCGGAGAAACCAAGTCCATTTATTAAGTGCCTCACACTCGAGGCCCAGGACCAGGTCAGAATTAAACATCAACAGTAGTTGGAAAACGAGCACCGTCGATAGCAATAGGCTGCAGAAGGACAAGCAGCTGAGGACTTTAACATACCATAAGCTCCGCCACCACCGGCTGACATGGACACCCAGTTATTGAGATAGATATTTGTCACTATTACTGGACACAGCCGAGACATGCAGCAGCTTCAGCACTCCTTTAGGAGCATTGAGTACCACCATCCAGCAGGTGCAGACGAATATGGCATCCGCACGAAACTTCGCTTCCATTGCTAGCAGTGAGTCCCTCGCGGCATGTCGACAGATGAGTACCTTTGACGGGTGATTGGACATGTACGTTGGTAGGATGGATGGTATACAGTAACGGGTAAATGAGACTTGGGATCATCTAGGGAGTTTGGAGACGAGGGTTCAGGCCATGTAGATGGAGTAGACCCAACAGTCTGCCATGTTGAGAGAGATCTTGTCCTGCCTTCCCTCATCTCCTGGAAATGATGATGCCGAGCCCAGCTTTCCATCCCAGCCACCATTTTGATCAAGGGAGTGCTATTTTCCCCATTTTGATTTTTCGTCTTCATTCTGTCCTTAAAATTATGTCTTTAATCTTTTGTTAATCTTACATTGAGGACAATGTATAAACTAAGTTTGGGAAGGGTGACATAATTTAGATCTCTATCTGTGTTCATCATTTTCTAATTTTCACTAATTTCCATTATTACATAATGTGTGCATGATTAGTGTTATAATATATATATGCATTTTATTCAGTTTGTTTTAAATTCTCTTCATGCATGCTTGTATGAACTTAATAACCTTGTTAGCTATGATGATATTATTGGACTAGTATAAATTGCAAAACTTTGGATCTGGTATTAATTAGACTAACTGATACTTATTTATGCAAAACTTGACATTATCTATGCACGTTATTCATGCTTGACATATTATGAGAATGACCGGACTTTGAGCATAAAGTGGGAAAATAAGGATAACCCTCTATTGAATTAACCCATAAATTACTTTAAGACAGTTTGGTGATAGTTGAGCTATTATAGGAAAGTATTGAGATGAGAGGGGGATTCGTGCATGAAATTTATTGTGTGGATTGTCTAGACCAGTGGAATGAAGAGTAGGTAAAAATCTTACATTGGGGGTTGATTTTGGAAACTAAATGTTTAGAAAAATAACAAACGGCACAAAATTAATATGTGAGAATAAAACACTTCTGTTCATGCCTTTATGACTCGAACAAGTAAGCCTGTAAGGATATTTCAAAATCTGATGCCCTAAAGCCAATTGGTTTGGGAGTCACCGGCCTAAAACTCGATACATGGGTCATATAGAAAGCAAGAGGGAAAGAAATTAATAAAAAGTCATCTTATTGAGCCTTTATAACTCGAGTAAATAAGCCTACAAGGATTTAAGACCTGGTGCCCTAAAGCCAACTGGTTTGGGAATCACCTGTCTAAAGCTCATTACATGGGTTATATAGAAAGCAAATGAGAAGATGACAAATAATTAGAAATTAAAGAAAGGTGAGAAAAACAATAGAGAGACAATAACATGACGAAAAGCCCATAGACATTTGGTTGAAGAGACTATACCTCTGAGGCGAGGCATGTAACCTAGTTTAATCTTGAGTGTCGAAGCAATCAAACTTAGGAGAGCTTTCACTTTTTGAAATGTAGACTTGTGATAGTAATGCTAAATCCAAACTACGAGAGGGTGAGGACTACAACTATATAAATTCCTAATTTTAAGACACAACCCCGAGAGAATTGAGTGAAAAGAATAAGTTTGGGGGGTTGTGTATCTCTCGAGTGAGTAAGAATATATTTGACCACTTGGGATCGAGGCTCAAATTCATCATGAACCTGATATGTTGGTATGAATTCACACACACGTCAATTTGCATTTAACAGGTAAAGGTTGATGTCATGTTTGTACAGATAAATTTTTAAATACTCAGTCCAATCCTAAGCCACAACAGGGTATTGAGCCATGTTTGTTCAAAATTAAGTCACTATCTTATTTGAGGACAAACAATAGTTCAAGTTTGGGGGGGTTTGATAAGTGTGTTTTTGCACACTTATTTAGATTACAAACATGACTTAATAACGAGCAAAATGATTGAATTGTGACTTAATCTCCTACATTTGTGAATTGTAGGGAACAATGATGAACATGGTGAAATTCAGGAGAAAAGACGCGAGAAAGGACTAAAATGATGCAAAGTGAAAGTTCAGGGACCAAAGTGAAATTATCTAAAAGTTGACCCGATGAATAAATTGAGAAATTGATTAAGCTAATTGTCCATTGACGATATCTTGGGATGATAGAATGGAAAGAATGAAGAAAAGATGCCTAGAAGTGAAAGATTCAAATAGGAGGACCAAAATGAATATTTCTCATAGTTGGTTGCACACTCTATGCGGTCGCATAGAGGCACACCGAAGCTTAATGGCCACAATATTTTTACTCTATGTGACCGCATAGAGTTGCTCTATGCGGTCGCATAGAACAATTCCGGGTAAAATTGTAATTTCTTTTTTTTACCGAAACTCTTATGGAAACAATATTTTTAGGGTCCTATATAAACAAAAACTCGACCATTTTTACAAGTTTTTGAGAGATTTTGAAGGAAAAACAAGGAGAGAACAACATGATAACATCGCGCCAAGTGAAGATTCGATTGAAGATTGATTCGGGTGATGACGTTTCTTCAAATATTTTTATGTTTTCTTCTTTTTAGCATGTTAGGTTAGATTTATCATTGCTAGGAGATCGATGAACCTTGTAATACTACGTTTGATTGTTGATTTGGATTTTTGACGTATTTAAACGCAAGTTCTGGATTTGATTAATTTATTACGTTTTTATCTTCATACGATTACTGTGCACGTAATTATATGATTATGGTGGCCTATTTTATACATTTGAAAGAAGGAAAATAGGTTCGACATAGTATAAATTATCATAGGGTCCGATAGGGGATAGAAATATACCTCTATGCCTTGTGTGAATCATTGGGTATTCATGAATTTATAATGCATTTCGGTATGTTAGCATTCATCATAGAAATATAGTCGAATCATATATTGGGATGGATTTGACATTGCTTGAGAGAGATTGCTAAATTAAAATAGGAATATTGATCCATCTTTTGTGGAACTGTGTGTCAAATTTACATAATTGAAAATTGAACGGGTATTGCTTGGGGATTCGTGATCTTAGTGCGTTAATATATTCATTAATTCCATAAATTCGAGTTAAATTGCATCCAAGTTATTTTGCATTTAGTATAATTTTCCATTCATATTTGCATCAAGGTTTACATCTTGTTAATTAAAGTACAAAACCTCAATTTGATTTTCGTGTTTCGGTTAAGGTCATAATAGGTTAATTTGAACTAATTCAATCCTCGTGGGATCGATACTTGGACTCATAGTCCATTTTACTACTTATTAACGAACCGTATACTTGCGTTGAATTTTAAATCGGAACAAACAATATCGTGAATAGTAATTGCCTTATCAATGAAGAATAAGTTGGGATTTATTGATGGATATATAGCAAGACCTGAAGGCAATGGTGATCTGTTGAATGTCTAGATCTGCAATACCAACATTATGACTTCGTAGACCCTCAATTCTATTTCTAAAGAGATCTCAACAAGTATTATATGCGTTGTATCTGCACATGAGATCTAAGAAGATC